CCTCTGACCCAACCCCCTCTCATGTGCTCTCTCTCTCTCTCTCTCTCATTCTCGCTCTCTCAAATGAATAAATAAATAAAATTTAAAAAAAAAAAAGAAAAGAAAAAAGTCCTAAAAGTCAACAACAAAACAACCCAATTTTTAAAATGTACAAAGGACTTGAATAGACATTTCTCCAAAGAAGATCTACAGATGGTCAACAAGCACATGAGAAAATGCTCCACATCACTGGTCATTAGGGAAATGTAAATCAAAACCACGATAGGGGCGCCTGGGTGGCTCAGTCGGTTAAGTGTCTGCCTTTGGCTCAGGTCATGATCCGGAGGTCCTGGGGTTGAGCCCTGCATCGGGCTCCCTGTTCAGTGGTGAGTCTGCTTTTCTCTCTCCCTCTGCCCCTCCCCCTGCTTGTGCTCGCTCTGTCACTCTCTCTCTCAAATGAATAAATAAAATCTTTAAAAAAGAAAATAGTATGGAGTTTCCTCAAAAAAATTAAAAATAGAATTACCATGTGCTGTATTGACTCCCCTTCTGGGTAGTAGATATTAGCCATCTACCAGAAGAATTGAAAGTAGGGTCTCAAAGACATAGTCGTACACCCATGTTCGTAGCAGCATGATTCACAGTAGCCAAAAGGTAGAAGTAGTTCAAGTGTCCATTGACAGATGAATGAATAAACAAAATGTAGTGTAGACATCCACTGAAGGGTTGTTTAGCCTTAAATACAAGGAAATTCTGACCTGTTAAGTGAAATAAGCCAGTCACAAAAGGACGAATACTATATGATTCCACTTATATGAGGTACCTAGAGTTGTCAAATTCATAACCACAGAAAGTAGATTAGAGGTTACCAGGGGCCAAGAGGGAGGGAGCGGGGAGAAGCTTTGTTTCATGAGTACAGAATTTCTCTTTGGGATGATGAGAAAGTTCCAGAGATGGGTGGTGGTGATGGTTGCCCAACATTGTGAATGTACTTAATGCCACTGAATTGTATATTTTAAAGTGGCCGAAGGGGTAAATTTTAGATTTTGTATATTTTACTTCAATAAAAAGAAGTCATTATATATGATAGCATAAAATAATTTGCCCCCCCTATGGAATAATTATAAGTCATGGGGAGGAAAGGTACAGCACGGGGAATATAGTCCATAGTATCGTAATAGCGTTGTATGGTGATGGATGGTAACTAGTGGTGAGCACAGAACAACGTATAGACTTGCCAAATCACCACATTGTACACCTGAAATTAATGTAGTATTGTGTGTCAATTATGCTTCAATTAAAAATTAACTAAAATAGGGGCGCCTGGGTGATTCCGTCGGTTAAGCGTCTGCCTTCGGCATAGGTCATGATCTCAGGGTCCTGGGATCGAGCCCCGAGTCAGGCTCTCTGCTCAGCAGGGAGTTTGCTTCTTCTTCTCCCTCCCCTGCCCCCCCACTCGTGCTCTCTCTCTCCCTCTCAAATAAATAAATAAAATCTTTAAAAACAAACTTGTCCCTCACAAAATCCAAACCTTTCAACCACTTTCCCTCACCACGACTTCCTATTTATTTGCTGCTTTCCCTGGGCAGCAAACAACTCTCCAAGCTACCTATTCTTGCTGTCTGCGTTCTCCTCCCTTCTCTCCTGAAC